GTCAGTAGATGATGATACTGACGACGTACGGTGTCACGACGTACGGGTAGTCAGTAGATGATGATACTGACGACGTACGGTAGTCAGTAGATGATGATACTGACGACGTACGGTAGACGACGGTAGTCAGTAGATGATGATACTGACGACGTACGGTAGTCAGTAGATGATGATACTGACGACGTACGGTAGATAAAGACACGGACGACGTAGGGTAGTCAGTAGATGATGATACTGACGACGTAGGGTAGTCAGTAGATGATGATACGGACGACATAAGGTAGATAAAGACGGTAGATAAAGACGGTAGATAAAGACACGGACGACGTACGATAGTCAGTAGATGATGATACTGACGACGTACGGTAGTCAGTAGATGATGATACTGACGACGTACGGTAGTCAGTAGATGATGATACTGACGACGTACGGTAGTCAGTAGATGATGATACTGACGACGTACGGTAGTCAGTAGATGATGATACTGACGACGTAAGGTAGTCAGTAGATGATGATACTGACGACGTACGGTAGTCAGTAGATGATGATACTGACGACGTACGGTAGATAAAGACACGCAAGACGTAGGGTAGTCAGTAGATGATGATACTGACGACGTAGGGTAGTCAGCAGATGATGATACGGACGACGTACGGTAGATAAAGACACGCACGACGTAGGGTAGTCAGTAGATGATGATACTGACGACGTAGGGTAGTCAGTAGATGATGATACTGACGACGTACGGTAGTCAGTAAATGATGATACTGACGACGTACGATAGTCAGTAAATGATGATACTGACGACGTACGGTAGTCAGTAGATGATGATACTGACGACGTACGGTAGTCAGTAGATGATGATACTGACGACGTACGATAGTCAGTAGATGATGATACTGACGAAGTACGGTAGTCAGTAGATGATGATACTGACGACGTACGATAGTCAGTAGATGATGATACTGACGACGTACGGTAGTCAGTAGATGAGACGTGACGATGCATGGGTAGTCAGAAGATGAAACCTTACCGACGTATTGATAAACAACGACAGGATGTTTGAAAGGAGAGTAAGTTAAAGGCTAAAAGGATTCAAATAAGTACAACATAAGATTCAAGCTTATTGTCTGGAGATTTGAAATGTTGAAAATGAATTTGACTTTGCAATGTCACTATGTAAACTTATCGCCCACGACAGCAGACTCAATTGACTGTTGCAATCAACTGGACCTGTGCCCTATCTGATGACCTCTAGTACTGGCGCCCCTTGCACCCAATCCCCCCGCTGGGTCGGGTCTGGAACGGTTACATGTATTTGACAAACGGGATGGGCTCAAGCTAATGGGGAGGGGTTGTATTCAAACTGGAAATTGACTATTGATTGTCATTATTCTGTTTTAAATATAGAAATACATTGATAGGCGTGGAAAAGAAAAGACTTCTTGGTTGAATGGAGTTATACCATGGAAGAACAATACTGGAGTGATGAAAGCCAATCATAAATTCAATCAGTGTGTCAGCAACTCTCATACTAGAGTTTCCATGCTTGTGCTCAACAAGCTGTGAAATGTTAGCCTGCATAATAGATTAGCAGGCCTTGTTCTCGTGTTTGTTAAACAGGCATGGTCTCGGCTGCGTGTGAATGTCTCCCCTGTGGAACTACACATACATACGCTTGAAGGAGGAGTGCCCACAATGAGGCTGGAATCTCGCCATACCGTTTAATACTGTTACAGTTTCATTTTAGTAAAGTTGTTCGAGGTCTTAAAGGGATACTGCCTAATGGTGTGTTAACTGAAACAGATTAGCTTCTCCTTCAAACACATGACCCGTGAAGGTCCAGGTTAGAATTGATCTTCAATAACCCATGCTTGTCGTAAGAGGCGACTAACGGGATTGGGTGGTCAGGCTCGCTGACTGGATTGACACGTGTCATCGTATCCTAATGTTCGATGTTCATGCTGTTGATCCCTGGGTTGTCTGGTCCAGACTCGATTATTTACAGACCGCCACCATATAGCTGGAATATTGCTGAGTGCGGCGTAAAACTAAACTCACTCACTCACTCACTCACTCAAACACAAACTTAAGGATATGACCGTGACTATTATGACATGATCTGATCAGATTTCACAAAAACATATCTTCATAATAATGTCAGTTAACGTCAGACAAAAATGACACAAAGCACAACCTGGGTCTGTGTCTTTGTCCATGGTTGGTAAATAGGTGCCCCGCTGTATTACTTAAAATCGGACACGCTTAACGTCGCAATTCACGATGACGTGTAACACATGTGTGAAATGAGATATATTTAAAATAGCACTTAGATATGAAGAGTGTGCGAGATGTTCCCCAAGTGGGCGACCATTGCTGTCTGGGGCATGTCCTGCTGAGACACCGGAATGGCCAAATGGCCATTAGTAGGATATAAAGCCGTTGACAAGGACGTTATCATGCTGGTTACGTCTCTGCAATGACACATGTGGTCAGAAAGTATCTTATTAAACCTCAGAGGATTTGAACATACCGTGTCTGTCTCTGTTACGCTGCATGCGGAACGTGTCCTGACGGCCGGTAGACATGTCATTACCCTAACTCGTCATGAAGTCGTCATATATTGTCAATACATGCGGAACGTGTCCTGACGGCCGGTAGACATGTCATTACCCTAACTCGGCATGAAGTCGTCACATGTTGTCAATACATGCGGAACGTGTCCTGACGGCCGGTAGACATGTCATTACCCTAACTCGTCATGAAGTCGTCACATGTTGTCAATACATGTCGTCATGAAAACATTTTCCATCTTACCATGAAGAGGCCTTCATGTCATCACTTATGTTCGATATGACGTATATGTCATTACTGTATCCCGTCAAGTAACGTACTTCTCGATCCATGCCATTAATCGTCGTGATGACGTATAACTAGACAGAGTTGTAAATTTCATTTAATCATTTTTTAGATGTGTTTGTGTGTCGGTGTGTTCATCTGTCTGTTTACCCATCTGAAATAATTGATTTGCAATTATCTTTTCATGTTTATTTGAGCCCTGTTTTGCTTTTTACTTTCAAAGACATCTGTTCAAGCGAAAAAGTGAGACTGGTTAATTTATGACGTTGACGTTATATGATAAATAGATATTTCGAGTATGCATATATTTTTGGAATCATTCATTCTGCATCAAACGTCCTGCTAACGGATTTGAGGGTATATGGGAAAGCGAGAGAAAGAGAACTTCGTGATATTCGTGAACGTGTTATACCGCAAATTGAAAGTGTGATCCTTTAGTTATTATAAAATCCACAAGTCAATTCCCTCCTTAGACTACCTGACAAATGAATAAACAAATCTGTCATTTTAAACTACATCGTGGAAACCCAAGAGCATTTCTTCATCCGTGTTTATGATTTCAGTTGATTTCATAATGATGTTTTAGAATAACACCAGCATTAGGCAATAATCTGCCTATCCAATTAAATGGTGCTTTCTAATGTTTCATTAAACAAAACCTCAGGCTAGTTTACTAACGGTTTAATTGAAGCTATATTGCTATAGTACCACTGGAATTTTGCTGACACGAAATACACACGTATCTTTGAAACCATGATACGAATGCTGTGCATGGATTCTGGTCGTAGTGAAATACGTTCGTGAAAGTTCAAATCTCACTAGACCAGCAATATCAGCGGCAATAGCAGATCAACTTAATCCAAAATTAATTTTTATTAGCAGATTGTAAAATCAAACATATTTTTTTCTAAACTTTATCCCGAACGCGTTATCATATTTCACCCCAAAATGGTGCACATGTTCATAGAAACGGTTTCAGAAGTTTTCAATGTAAATACGATTCGATGCATATTATTTACTAACGTACCGGATCCTGCTATCATCACTTGACCACAAAATTAGTTTGGATGTGACCTTTTTCACCTTTACATGTTAAAAGAGTCCCCTTTCTTGTCACACGGTTTTATCAAGAATATACGTAGTATTTTAACATCACGGTCCAAATGTTCTTTATTTTAGTTTATTTCGCTACACATCCAATCATTGCTATCATGCTTTGTTTATACATAGATTAGCATACCTGTACGTGCTATATAGATTTGTAATTATTAACTTCTACTAAGGCCATCCCGTGTGTATCTTGGATACTGTGAAATCTGATAGTGATAATGGTTACTGTAACGTCTTTGAAACACGTCTTCCTCACTCCAGAGATCAGTTAGTTGAAATACATGTGGAAAAGCGTGAGTTTGGTGAACCTGTCAATTGTCACGTCGCTGAAGACGTGCTTGGCATCATGATTCAGCGGACACTCATAGGTTTTTCAAGATTCTTCGTTAAGTTTGCTACTGACGGGGAGTTACGACAACTTTATATAACTGTGACAATATATCGGAATATTTTTTCATATACTGCTTTATCTATTCCGTTTAGCTTACTTAGAAACTAATCAATAAAAAGAAATACTCATTTTCCCAAGGTAATTTGCATTGGTTGAATGTTTTCAGTCGGGGCCTTTACAGGGAACCAATCTGGAAACACCATCAGCACAATATCCCGCAAGGTGATGTGACAACTACGGCTAGGGGGTATTTAGCACACTCCTTGACAATTGGAATCTTGTCATAAAGTAAAACAGGGAATATACCTTGGGGCTGATCAATGTCCCGGCGTGATAATGTGCTCACTTTGAATATTCAGCCCATTTTGTAAACATACACGTGTATCAGTTTTTCAAGCGATATTTTGTTTCTAAATGAAACTCTTACGTTCAATTACAGGCAAACATTCCTTGCATTGCCGATCAAAGTTTATTCCTGTAATACATGTACCAAGTCTTACAAGAAGAGGATTCATATATGTCTTAAACCTATGTCGGTAAACACACGTTCATATCTTTATGCTTTGCAATAACGTGTATCCAAAGATTTAACAGAGTCAGGTATCAAGCTACTTTCCAGTTACAAGAATACAATTCTTACCTGTTGCAGGTTGAAGAAGGAGCGCCAGGTAGATCAATGCTGTGAAGGAGATGCACCACGAATGTTGGGAATCCATACCTGTAATCAAGTTTCTTTGATCTTTACTGTCTTTTCACTTAAACTCCTTGTTCGCTATCACAGAACTGCCTAATACGTCTTTAATTTTTTTCCGACTTTATTTCATAAATTGTGCCAGCCCAGCTCTTACAAGGTTCGTTCAAGCCTTATCGTTCCGTCACTGAGCAAGGCACCCAAGCTGGGTTGTTTAACACGGCCGCCCCCGGTCTGTGCGATAGTATTGATGCAGTGTTAAGAGCGGGCGAGCAAGTCCATAACACAGCATAGGCTTAGCACAACTCTCGGAAGCTGGAGTGCCTTCCTTTAAGACTAGGCCAGCCCACACTTCCCACTCACAGACAGCTTATTGGCCGCCCAGCAATGTCCAGCCGGCGCGTTGCGTCACGAAGAACGCCCGTCTCAAACATCCGCTGATGAATCTATCGATGCTTCCAAATGATGGCGTTTCATCAAACTGTTCAATAAAGCGACTAGTTTTCAAACAGGTACTGTGTTCGTATTCCGCCCTCTACTGTACAATAGTGAAGTGTTTACTCAGTGGGGATTACCTGATTGGACTTTGTTACTGCCTGACGTTAACACCGGTCACCAAATTGTCATTTCTCATTCTTTATCGTCCAGCGACGTATTGTAACGCTTCAAAGTCACTCTGGAGCTTACTTCAAGGCTGATAACACGAGCAGAAAATCGATAGTACAACCGTGCACACTGAGAGCCAGGTCGCGGACACCCCGGGTGCCGGAAGGTAAAACCGTCGGCTTTTAAGCATCTCTTAACATTATCACCGTGAAGCGCATGGACTTCAACCAATGTGCCATACTGGGAAGCGAACCTTGACTGAGAACCTAAACACTCTGACCACGACGGTACTCACCTATCCCACGGAATAAAATAACCTCTGTACTGTACATCTTTAATTGCACCCCAACGAACTTTCATAAAGGGGCACTTGGCTCAAGTTAATTGGCAGTCCCAGTAGGTTAGACTGAAATCTTTCTACACTTCCTTGTTTAATGTAGCATACGTTATATTGCACTTTCCCTTTACTCAATCCCAAATATATCAAAAGGTTTCGTGTATTCAGCCTCATGTTTTTCTGCTATTTTTATGTTTTATTTTTCACACATGGTACAAATTGAAACAAATAGACGTAGTCTGGGTATTGTGACCAAAGTGATGTTCCCAGCAAATTCATTGATCTTGAGATTGGACGAGGCCGTATGGAACGGTATTCATTACAACGGTATATGTTAAAAATGTATATTGTCTGGCGGACATAGATGGCCACATTTGATGTTTGGTAATGTAACATTATCACCAAGGAATATTGATTATTGGTGAAATTGTTTTTTAATCAGGACTATGATGAGCTGCCGTGGTTAAAATACACTTGGGTGTAATTATTCTGTCATTTTGTACCAGTTATATAGCAACAACGTTAGTAGTAGGAATATTTGCAATAAATGAGATTCGATTCCAGTAGTTCTAAACTCAAATCAGACATGCCCAAACCTTATTGATGGAAATATTATATAATTTGCATTCTCATGAACAACATCCTCAGGAGAATACAATTTATGAGCCTGAAAAGCTTTGTCGTCACAGGTTATTTTCATACTCCTGGGGACTCCTGTACTGCTGTACACTTAATTCCAACCGTACGTATTGACCATTATAAACACAAACACACATATGTCGATCCTCCCTACAAATTCGTGAGAAACAAAGTTTGTTGAAATGCGAAGACAAGTCGGGTAACGTAATACTGTTGGAATGTGACACCCAATAACTAGAAGTTAACACATGGAAGTCACGCGCAGAACTGTCTAATATCGTTAAAAGTGAATCAGACTAATCATATTCGTTTCAGCCCACACGGGGAAAAAATCATCTTCGTGACAATTGGTTTTACGCGTTAAATGTAGCATATTTAATCGATTCTGGCCTCTCAGATTTTTCTTGAATCTCGTTTACAAACCCGTCTTCATCACTAAGAAACCATTCGATCACATTTGTACGTTGTACAATTTTTCAATCGTATTTCAGAAGAATTATTATGCTAATATATTTCAAAGCATCGGGCTTCCTTATCATCACCATTGCTAGTCGACGCAGCAATAAGGTTGGTCAGTTTTACCCTTCAATCTCGAGATGAAACAGTAAAGGCATAAATGTTCATTTTTTCAAACTTGACTATATAAATTAAGAAATATATTGTATTTTTTCATTCTGAGGAAAGCGGTGGGGGAGACGTTAACACGTGTACGATGTGATTGCAATAAATGTTCCAACGTTCTATTTTTAAACAAATAAATATTGAATAACAGAACTTAAATAAGCAAGCTCCAGTGTCGGCACTTTTACTTCCGTGTCAGGGAAAACTGTTCAGTCCAATTCTTAGCTTTTTCGTGACTTGCTCATGCTTAGTCCGTGTTTTGTCTTGCTTAATCCCCGTCTCTGTCTTATTTAGTTCCTGTTTTATCTTGCTTAGTCCCCGTTTCCGTCTTGCTTTGTCCCTGCTTTTTCCTTGCTTAATCCTCACTTCAATCAATCAATCAATCAATCTTTATTTACAGTACTGAAGAGGCCGTAGGCCTATAGTACATTTAACATACAGTAGCAGGGGGTGCAATATAAATGAATATATAGTTAAGTAGATAATATCACATCTCACTTTTTCTGTACTTAATCCCCGTATCTGTTTTATTCAAACCCCATTTTTGCTCTGCTTATCCCCGTATCTGTCTTACTCAATCCCCAATTTTGCTCTTCTTAATCCCGGTATCTGTCTTGCTTAGTCCACACTTTTGCTCTTCCTAATCCCTGTATCTGTCTTGCTTAGTCCACACGTTTGCTCTTCTTAATCCCTATATCTGTCTTGCTTAGTCCACACTTGTGCTCTTCTCAATCCCCGTATCTGTCTTGCTTAGCCCACACTTTTGCTCTTCCTCTTCTTAATCCCTGTAATCCCTTCTTGCTTAGTCCACACTTTTGCTCTTCCTAATCCCTGTATCTGTCTTGCTTAGCCCACACTTTTGCTCTTCTTATCCCTGTATCTGTCTTGCTTAGCCCACACTTTTGCTCTTCTTAATCCCCGTATCTGTCTTGCTTAGTCCACACGTTTGCTCTTCTTAATCCCTGTATCTGTCTTGCTTAGTCCACACTTGTGCTCTGCTCAATCCCCGTATCTGTCTTGCTTAGTCCACACGTTTGCTCTTCTTAATCCCTATATCTGTCTTGCTTAGTCCACACTTGTGCTCTGCTCAATCCCCGTATCTGTCCTGCTTAGTCCACACTTTTGCTCTTCTTAATCCCTGTATCTGTCTTGCTTAGTCCACACTTGTGCTCTGCTCAATCCCCGTATCTGTCCTGCTTAGTCCACACTTTTGCTCTTCCTAATTCTCGTATCTGTCTTGCTTAGTCCACACTTGTGCTCTGCTCAATCCCCGTATCTGTCTTGCTTAGTCCACACGTTTTCTCTTCTTAATCCCTATATCTGTCTTGCTTAGTCCACACTTGTGCTTTGCTCAATCCCCGTATCTGTCCTGCTTAGTCCACACTTGTGCTCTGCTTAATCCCCGTATCTGTCCTGCTTAGTCCACACTTTTGCTCTTCCTAATTCTCGTATCTGTCTTGTTCAGTCCCCACTTTTGCTCTGCTTAATCCCTGTCTCTGCCCTTCTCAGTCCCCACTTCTGCTCTGCTTAATCCCTGTCTCTGCCCTGCTCAGTCCCCACTTCTGCTCTGCTTAATCCCTGTCTCTGCCCTTCTCAGTCCCCACTTCTGCTCTGCTTAATCCCTGTCTCTGCCCTTCTCAGTCCCGACTTCTGCTCTGCTTAATCCCTGTCTCTGCCCTGCTCAGTCCCCACTTCTGCTCTGCTTAATCCCTGTCTCTGCCCTTCTCAGTCCCCACTTCTGCTCTGCTTAATCCCTGTCTCTGCCCTTCTCAGTCCCCACTTCTGCTCTGCTTAATCCCTGTCTCTGCCCTTCTCAGTCCCCACTTCTGCTCTGCTAAATCCCTGTCTCTGCCCTGCTCAGTCCCCACTTCTGCTCTGCTTAATCCCTGTCTCTGCCCTTCTCAGTCCCCACTTCTGCTCTGCTTAATCCCTGTCTCTGCCCTTCTCAGTCCCCACTTCTGCTCTGCTTAATCCCTGTCTCTGCCCTGCTCAGTCCCCACTTCTGCTCTGCTTAATCCCTGTCTCTGCCCTGCTCAGTCCCCACTTCTGCTCTGCTTAATCCCCGTCTCTATCTTGCTCAGTCCCCACTTTTGCTCTGCTTAATCCCTCTTTTCAGCAGTTAAATACATTTTGTAACACTTGTTTCTGTCCCAACTACATCGATAATTTAAACTGCAAGATTACCATTGATTTACATTGTTTCACACCCAATACTGGAGCTGTGGGGTAGCCTAGTGGTTAAAGCGTTCGCTTGTCATGCCGAAGACTCGTGAGTACAATGTGTGGAGCCCATTTCTGGTGTCCCCCGCTGTGATATTGCTGGAGTACTGCCATAATACTAGTAAAACTAAACTCACTCACTCACTCACACCCAAAACTATCTAACCTGATGGTTTACTTACTATTACAGACGTGTCCAACAGACGTTTGTGGACGAAACAACAAAAAACATATTTTCATGAGAATATTTGTTATCTGATCTGCGAAGTGTAATGTAGATCGGGTGATGAAACTAAAATATCGATAGTTCTTTTATGTCTTTCACACGTAAGGAAATCCCGGATGTTCCAGTAAAAAATGTTGATGAAAATGAATTATTTGTTTCCTAATGTCAAAGAAAGTTTGTATGATCTGAACCGTAGTCTAATTGAAGTGAATTACAATGGGGTAAGCGCAGTAGTTGGAACAGTGAAACAAATGCAAGTGCGGTACGTGAAGAGCGTTAACCTATAACAACCCTTGTCGTTCTCGGTGTTTCATTTGATGTGCATACGCCCTTGTAATACAAACCAGTAATAGCGATGTGAAATTATGATCGTTTGTTAAACAACTTTTATCCTAAGTTGAATAAAATTCTGAGATTTAAATGTTCAATTGGCAAGGTAAAATCATGAGGATTCGCAGTCTTAATTTCACTTTATTTGTTTTACTTTTTGGTTTAAAGTGACATTCATCGGTACGTTTTCACTGAAAACTGACTATAGTTAGTTCTTTTTCTGCAAAGAGGGAGTCGATTTGTCATTAAATGAAAGCAAATGTCATTTGAAATTCACAGAGAAAACAGTACGTTAAATGATGGACCTATCGGATATTAAAACATGAAGCGGCTATCACAACCAACACCAGCTGTGCTGGTCTATCTCGTTGTGCATACGAGAAGATCCTGCTGGATTGCTGAAATGAACTGAAATGAATTTTGCCAAAATTTGTAACCAGTTGAATTCCATTCAAGGGATTTATTCACCTCCGCCAGAAATAACAGAGACCGGTGAAACATCTGCATCACACAATTAATCGGGGACCAAACTGCTGGGTTAGTTGATTGTTTAAAGCCGTACTCAGCAATATTTCAGCTATATGGCGGCAGTCTGTAAATTATCGAGTCTGGACCAAACAATCCAGTGATCA